AAAGCCTATGAAAAAGGTACCAGGGGCATCTCATGGGGCCTCCAACTGACCCCGGGCCCTCGGGCAGTGCCCGAGTTTCCAAATGGTCAGCCCGCCCCTGTGTGTGACTGAGGTCGAGATCAGGGGCGGACTGACCATTTGGAAACTCGGGCACTGCCCGAGGGCCCGGGGTCAGTAGGGGGCCCCATGAGATGCCCCTGTTACCTTTTTCATATAACCTTTTTTGAGTTTGGGCAAGGAAACAGGGGCCCCATGATTCCCTATTGCCCGGGGGCCCCATGAGTTGTCAGTCCGCCCCTGGTAGAGATGGTAGAGTGTAAGATCCTCTGGTACAGAGACTGATGTGAATGGCTCAGTGCTCTCTGTACAACACTATGGAACAGGGGCAGACTGACCATTCGAGCACTCGGGCACTGCCTGAGGGTCTGGAGTCAGTAGTGGGCCCCATGAGATGCTCCTGGTACCTTTTTATAGGCTTTTTTTTGGGTGTGCTTTGAGTGTGGGCAAGGACACAGGGGCCCCATGATCCCCTATTGCCCAGGGGCCCCATGAGTTGTTAGTCCGCCCCTGCTACGGAATATGTCAAAGATATATTAATGTATACTAATAATAATCTGACTGAGGTGGGACATTAGAGTGTAAGCTCCTCTGGTGCAGAGATTGATGTGAGTGGCTCAGTGTTCTCTGTACAGCACTACGGAATATGTCAGAGCTATATAAATGTATAATAATAATAGTGTGTGACTGTGGGTAGGGATGGTAGAGTGAAAGCTCCTCTGGTACAGAGACTGATGTGAATGGCTCAGTGTTCTCTGTACAGCACTACGGAATATATCAGAGATATATAAATGTATAATAATAATAAAAATAAAAATTATTCCTGCGCCAAAGAAAACTACTACAGGATCTACACTGCTGCGCACTGTGAAAAAACACAAATAATAACAGGTATAAATAAACAGCGCAAACATAGACCTCTACATACAATTAATATATAAAGTGTATATTATTCCTAAATATATCATAAATCATGTTAATAGTGAATGTCCACCAAAATAAACACCAAAAAGTTTGTGAAATATGAACAATTCATGTAAAATATAAAATTCAAAAAATTCTGCGGATGCAGAGAGACTTCCACCTTCCACCCGTGCAAACCAACATCAAATACACTCACCAGATTTTGGTGAATGGGACGCCTTTTAAGGGATCCTAAACCCTCTTTAGTGTCCACTCTATAGGATTCCTCACCATCAGAATAGGCTCCACCACCCGTTCAACCAGGAGGAAAAAAACTCAAATAGTGTAATATTGCCAATTGATAGTATTAATAAAATCAAAGATTAAGGCCACTCACATTTCAGCCACTTTAATTAGGCACATTTATTAAAACAACCTCTTCCAGATGGACAATGAGCGATATACAGCCTCCTCAGGAATCTCACATCACAGCTCCAGGATACAGCAGACGATCCACAGAGAAACCCATACACAGATCCCAAAGATGGCCGCTGGAACGCACCGCTCGGCGTGCGCTCCACTCACCGGAGAACGCCCGATGGGAGGGGCGAAACGCGTTGACGCATTTCCTGTCTATACCTCATACGTCTGACGTCACTTCCGGTGAGTGGAGCGCACGCCGAGCGGTGCGTTCCAGCGGCCATCTTTGGGATCTGTGTATGGGTTTCTCTGTGGATCTTCTGCTGTATCCTGGAGCTGTGATGTGAGATTCCTGAGGAGGCTGTATATCGCTCATTGTCCATCTGGAAGAGGTTGTTTTAATAAATGTGCCTAATTAAAGTGGCTGAAATGTGAGTGGCCTTAATCTTTGATTTTATTAATACTATCAATTCGCAATATTACACTATTTGAGTTTTTTTCCTCCTGGTTGAACGGTGGAGCCTATTCTGATGGTGAGGAATCCTATAGAGTGGACACTAAAGAGGGTTTAGGATCCCTTTAAATCCCTAAAAGGCGTCTTATTCACCAAAATCTGGTGAGTGTATTTGATGTTGGTTTGCACGGGTGGAAGGTGGAAGTCTCTCTGCATCTGAAGAATTTTTTTTTTATTTTGTTAATTTTATATTTTTACACGAATTGTTCATATTTCACGAACTTTTTGGTGTTTATTTTGGTGGACATTCACTATTAACATGATTTATTATGCACTTTATATATTAATTGTATGTAGAGGTCTATGTGTGCGCTGTTTTATTTATACCTGTTATAATAATAATAGTTTGCGACTGAGGTGGGACATTAGAGTGTAAGCTCCTCTGGTGCAGAGACTGATGTGAATGGCTCAGTGATCTCTATACAACACTCCGGAATATGTCAGATATATTAATGTATACTAATAATAATACTGTGTGAATGATGGGACATTAGAGTGTAAGCTCCTCTGGTACAGACACTGATGTGACTGGCTCAGTGTTCTCTATACAACACTCCGGAATATGTCAGATATATTAATGTATACTAATAATAATACTGTGTGAATGATGGGACATTAGAGTGTAAGCTCCTCTGGTGCAGAGACTGCTGTGACTGTTTTCTGTGATTTGTACTGATGACAGGAGGACCTCTTATATCTCATGCTGTAAGTGGACCTCTATGTTCTGTGTGTAGCACATAGAAAATCCCACCATTAGTCGGTAGAAGATACGTCACACGCTGATTGTAAACCTGGAAGCACTTTTCTGCTTCATGATTATTTTAAACTCTATATGTTGCTGGAAAACGATTGTTTGGTTGGGTGGTGTCGCCCGTGCTCCCTCGGCACCTTGTCTTCATCGCCTAGAGGGAATTGTGGGCCTTCAGGAATCATACCGGAGAACAAGATCCAGACAAGAAGCGATGTATTAAGAAGAGTTTTGTAAGACTACAAGAAGTTTGCACTGATTGATTATGCATTAAGGGTTTTAAATGTGGGTCATTGAGGAAATCCATGCATAATTCTGACTTAAACAGCGCAGAACTACCAGAGAGGAAAACTTCATGAGTATATCATGGAGATGTTTAAAGGAGAATCAACATCGCGGATACAAATCCGGGGAAGGAAAGCAGAAAAGCAGTGTAAGGATTTTGCAGACGAATGTTTTATTCCACAGGCTCTACAAAGCAAGGAAGATTTAAGTATTAGTTAAGGAAGGGGGTCTTTACAGTAAAAGCTCAGGGTGAGCCCAGCCAAGACTGATATTTTGGTGGATTCTGGCAGTCTATTCTATCTCTTAAGAACGCTATTGGTGGTCTGTTGGTGTTCCAGAGTCTACACACCTGCTGTACCTATTATGAGGGGTTCCCACTATCCATGCGCTGAGTTTTGGGGTCTACACTCCTTCTCTACCTACTGCAATGGGTTCCCACTATCCCTTTGCTTAGTTCCTGGGTCTACACACCTTCTGTGCCCATTATAAGGGGACACCATTCCTGTACTGAGTTCTTGGATCTACATTCCTGCTGTGCCCATTATGAAGGGTTTCCACCATCCCTGTGCTGAGGTACTGGGTCTACACTCCTGCTGTGCCCATTATGAGGGGTTTCCACCATTCTTGTGCTGAGTTCTTGGATCTACACTCCTGCTGTGCCAATTATGAGTGGTTCCCACCATCCCTGTGCTGAGATCTTGGGTCTACACACCTACTGTGCCCATTATGAAGGGTTTCCACCATCCCTTTGCTAAGTTCTTGGGTCTACACTCCTGCTGTGCTCATTATGAGGGGTTCCCACAATTCTTGTGCTAAGTTCTTCGATCTCCATTCCCGCTGTGCCAATTATGAGGGGTTTCTACCAACCCTGTGCTGATTTCTTGGGTCTACACACCTTCTGTGCCAATTATGAGGTGTTCCCACCATCCCAGTGCTGAGTTCTTGGGTCTACACACCTTCTGTGCCAATTATGAGAGGTTCCCACCATCCCTGTGCTGAGTTCTTGGGTCTACACTCCTGCTATGAAAATTATGAGGAGTTCCTACCATCCCTGTGCTGAGTTCCCGGGTCTACACACCTGATGTGCCAATTATGAGGGGTTCCCACCATCCCTTTGCTGAGTTCTTGGGTCTACACACCTGCTGTGCCAATTATGAGGGGTTCCCACCACCCCTGTGCTGAGTTCTTGGGTCTACACACCTGCTGTGCCAATTATGAGGGGTTCCCACCATTCCTATGCTGACTTCTTGGGTCTACACTCCAGCTGTGAAAATGATGAGGGGTTCCCACCATCCCTGTGCTGAGTTCTTGGGTCTACACTCCAGCTGTGAAAATGATGAGGGGTTCCCATCATCCTTGTGCTGAGTTCTCAGGTCTGTGTGACAGCTGTGCCCGTTATGGTGATCTTCCACCATCCCTGCTGAATTCATGTTTGTTTTATGTTAGAGAACATGTGCCAGGAGGAATTGGAGCACACAAGTGGTTGGGAACACCCAGAACTCCAATGTGGATAAGACCAGAGCTGAGAATTTAGGCAGAGAGATCGCATTGTTGGAATATACAAGATGCAGGTATAGGAAGCCCGGGGTGACTAAGCTCACCAGACTCCACCTATAAGTAAATATCACATTTGGGTGGCCTGATTATTGGGAATATAAAAATACTTAGTTGTCTCACAACTAAGGATACATAGTGATAGTTATTAGGACACAGTATAGGAATATTTTGATACACATAATTGTTGCAGAAATTTGTTTTTTTTTTGTGGTGATGTATTTTGCCTTTACTTTTCCTTCCTCTGGAGGTTGACAAACCAACATCTATTTTCACTGTAAGTCATGTATGTAAGGCTCGGTTCACACTGCTGCGACCCCACAGTCATGCGACCACCAATGTGACTTTGCATTGCGACTTTGTGACTTGAATGCGAGTTTGATGTTTTGGGACTTTGGATTAAAAACCCTCTGAAGTTGCAGCGATAAGACAAGATACAACTACTTTGCTACTTTTGTGATTTTAACATTGCAGTCTATGGCACTCATGTCCCACCAAACACACAGAAAAAGTAGTGCGGGAACTATTTGTATTGTCACTGTGACCCAGGGGCGGACTGACCATTTGGAAACTCGGGCACTGCCCGAGGGCCCGGGGTCAGTAGGGGGCCCCATGAGATGCCCCTGGTACCTTTTTCATAGGCTTTTTTGAGTTTGGGCAAGGACACAGGGGCCCCTGATCCCCTATTGCCCGGGGGCCCCATGAGTTGTTAGTCCACCCCTGCTGTGATCTAAATGGCACCCCCCTGAAACAGGGGTGGACTGACAACTCATAGGGCCCCTGGACAAAAGGGGATCATGGGGCCCCTGTGTCCTTGCCCAAACTCAAAAAAGCCTATGAAAAAGGTACCAGGGGCATCTCATTTGTCCCCTTACTGACCCTGGGCCCTCGGGCAGTGCCCAAGTTTCCAAATGGTCAGTCCGCCCCTGCCCTGATATTATTGTGTTTTACTTGTCTTGCGACTTTCTGTGCTGCAGGTTGCAGCAAGTTGCACCAGAAATCGCAGCAGAGTGAACCAGGGCTAAGGCATTACACAAATCAATAGGTCACAGATTAGATTTTTTTTATTTTTCAATCTGCGTAAGAAAATTACAACAACATCCTTATATTTTGGTTTACAGAAAGTTTTAATATGCAAAAACAATTATAATTAACCCCTTCCCTCCTGAGGATTTACCCCCCTTCCTGACCAGGCCAATTTTTGCAATACGGCGATAAAATACATTAACTGACAATTAATTGATATTTGATTGCCTCTGCGTTTTTTTATTTTTGTGCTATAAAAAATACCGACATTTTTGAGAACAAAACTATATTTTTGACTTTATGCTATAAAAAATTTTATTTCATCATAAATTCGGGTCAAATGTATTCTGCTCCGTGTCTTTGCTAAACAAAAATCCCAATACATGTAAATTAATTGGTTTACGTGAAAGTTATAGCGTCTACAAATGGCCGTATAGATACTGGACTTTTTATTTATTTATTTATACCAGTAATGACAACAATCAGAGACTTATAATGGGACTGCGGCAGGCATTCTGACACTGGGGTGGGGGGGGAGGAACTGACTAACTACCGCTGACATCCCCAGTGACACCAATACAGTGATCAGTGCTAATAAAAAGCACTGACACTGTACTAATTGCACTGGGTAGGAAGGGGTTAACATCTGGGGCAATCAAAGGGTTAACTGTGTGCTGTTTTACACCATGTGCTGTGTGTGTTTTACTAGGGAAACGTGTTGCTGTGTATTTCTCTGCTGTGCAGAAGGGTTCATGAGGGAATAACACAAAGTGCAGGAGTCAGGGGTAAGTAATGCAAAGATCAGGAGTAAAAATGCAGAGTTCAGAGGTCAGGAGTAAGTAACAGAGTGCAGGGGTCAGGAGTAAGAAATCCTGAGTTCAGAGGTCAGGAGTAAGTAACAGAGTGCAGGGGTCAGGAGTGAGTAACGCAAAGTTCAGTGGTGAGTTGCAAGTAACACAGAGTTTAGAAGTCAGTGGTATATAAGACTGAGTTCCGGGGACAGAAGAAGGTAAAGCAGAGTTCAGAGGTCAGTAGCAAAAAACTCAGAGTTTAGAGGTCAAAAGTAAGCAATGTAAAGTTCAAAAGTCAGTAGTATGTTAAGCAAAGTGCAGAAGTTAGGATTAAGCAACTCAGAATTTAGCAGTATATAACACAGATTTCAGAGATCAGGAGTACATGACCCAGAAAGCAATAGTAAGCAATGCAGAGTGCAGGGGTCATGAGCGAGTAACACAGAATGCAGGGGTCCAGAGTAACTCAGAAGTCAAGAGTACATATCGCAGAGTGCAGAGGTAGGGGTACTGCATAGTGCAGGGGTCAGGCCTATGTAACCTAGAGCTCAGAAGTAAGGCAGTGTTCAGAGGTCATGAGTGAGTAACACAGAGTGCGGGAGTAAATACCTCATAATGCAGAGCCCAGGGTCAGGAGTTTGTAAGTCAGGGTGCAGGGGTCAAAAAGGGTAGCATAGAGTGCAGGGGTCAGAAGTAAGCAACTGAGACTGCAGGGGTCAAGATTGAATGATGCAAGGGTCAGGATGGAATGACACAGAGTGCAGAGATCAGAAGCAAGCAACTGAGACTGCAGGGGTCAGGATTGAATGATGCAGGGGTCAGGATGGAATGACACAGAGTGCAGGGGTCAGGATGGAATGACACAGAGTGCAGGGGTCAGAAATAAGTAGCTTAGACTGCAAGGGTCAAAAGTAATACAGTCTTCAAAGGTAATGCAGAATGCAGGGGTTAGGAGTAAGCAACTAGCACTTTTCTCAGCTTTGCATTGTCTATTGCTCCTCTGATCTGAAGTCGGGAAGGTTTTATATCTTATAAAAGCAGCCACAGCCTAAGTAAAATAGCCAATGCCCTGCCAGCATGCTGCAGAGAAGGATCATTGATCTCTAAATGGTTGTGCTACAAAGGTCTGTTAGAACTAAGACTCTCCAACCAGGATGGAGCATGAGCTTTGTTAATTGGAAAGCTTTAGATCTGACTCAACACAGAGTGAGTCGGATCTCTGCAGAGAGACCACTGCTTTCACACGGGATCCTTCTCTACAGCATTGTCAGGGATTAGTAGCAAGGATTGGCCAGATCTGTGTAGGTACACTTAGGAAACTGAGACCAGACTATATGTAGTAAAGTAAGTTTATCAATAGTAAAACAAAAGGCAGCCAAACTCCAGAAACCAGGAAACACAGCAAACATGAAGTGAACCACAACCATGTAACAAAATACCTAACTAGCAACCTAACTAACAAGCAGCCTAACAAACAAACAAACAACACGGATAAGCAGACTAATACCTGTGATGCAAGGAGGAGGGGGGGGGGGGGGGGGGCACCAGGACAGGGAGTCAGGAACAAAGAGACCAGATACAAGGCAGCAGGGTACAGGATATAGGGCAAGAGCAAGATCAGTAGCAGGGTCAGGATAAAGAGCAAATAGTATCTGGCTAGCAGAGCAAACACTGAAGCGAGAGGTACTAATAGAGGAGGGACTAAATACCCTCACAGTAGCCAACATCAGGCGTAAACTGATCATTGAGATCTGCAGGCTTATGGGAGACATCAGCTGGTGGACATTGGAACTCCATTGTATCCTCTCTGGGATACAGTGACACCAGCAGGTGAACCAGGTCCTTAAAAGCATGCTGGCAGGGGACAGGCTTTTTCTATTTAGATTGTGTCTACTTTCTGCTTTGTAAAACATTGCACACCTTTCGTTTTGATGCATTTATTATTATATTTATCTTTTTTTAAAAAAAAAAAAACTGAAAGACCATTTGGGGTTAAAGATACTATATATATATATATATATATATATACAGTATATATATATATAAATAAAATGAGGAACAGATAAATAATTTCAGAACTTTTTCCACCTTTAATGTGACCTATAAACTGTACAACTCAGTTTAAAAACAAACTGAAATCTTTTAGGGGGGGTAAACAAAAAACAACTAAAATAATGTGGTTGCATAACTGTGCACACCCTCTTATAACTGTGGATGTAGCTGTGTTCAGATTCACATTCAAAATCATGTTAAGTAGGAGTCAGTACACACCTGCCATCATTTAAAGTGCCTCTGATTAACCCTAAATAAAGTTCAGCTGTTCTAGTAGGTCTTTCCTGACATTTTCTTAGTCGCATCCTACAGCAAAAGCCATGGTCTGCAGAGAGCTTCCAAAGCCTCAGAGGGATGTCATTGTTAAAAGGTATCAGTCAGGAGAAGGGTACAAAAGAATTTCCAAGGCATTATATATACCATGGAACACAGTGAAGACCGTCATCATCAAGTGGAGAAAATATGGCACAACAGTAACATTACTAAGAACTGGACGTCCCTCCAAAATGGATGAAAAGACAAGAAGAAAACTGGTCTGGGAGGCTGCCAAGAGGCCTACAGCAACATTAATGGAGCTGCAGGAATATCTGGCAAGCACTGGCTGTGTGGTACATGTGACAACAATCTCCCGTATCCTTCATATGTCTGGGCTATGGGGTAGAGTGGCAAGACGGAAGCCTTTTCTTACGAAGAAAAACATCCAAGCCCAGCTAAATTTAGCAAAAACACATCTGAAGTCTCCCAAAAGCATGTGGGAAAATGTGTTATGGTCTGATGAAACCAAGGTTCAACTTTTTGACCATAATTCCAGAAGATATGTTTGGTGCAAAAACAACACTGCACATCACCAAAAGAACACCATACCCACAGTGAAGCATGGTGGTGGTAGCATCATAATTTGGGGCTTTTTTTTTTAACTGGAACTGGGGCCTTAGTCAAGGTAGAGGGGATTATGAACAGTTCCAAATACCAGTAAATATTGGCACAAAACCTTCAGGCTTCTGCTAGAAAGCTGAACATGAAGAGGGACTTCCTTCTTTCAGCATGACAACGACCCAAAGCATACATCCAAATCAACAAATGAATGGCTTCACCAGATGAAGATTCAAGTTTTGGAATGGCCCAGCCAGAGCCCAGACCTGAATCCAATCGAAAATCTGTGGGGTGATCTGAAGAGGGCTGCGCACAGGAGATGCCCTCACAACCTGACAGATTTGGAGTGTTTTTGCAAAGAAGAGTGGGCAAATATTGCCAAGTCAAGATGTGCCATGCTGATAGACTCAGACACAAAAAGACTGAGTGCTGGAATCAAATCAAAAGGGGCTTCAACAAAGTATTAGTTTAAGGGTGTGCACACTTATGCAACCATATTATTTTAGTTTTTTATGTTTACTTCCCTCCATCTAAAAGATTTCAGTTTGTTGTTCAACTGAGTTGTACAGTTTATAGGTTACATTAAAGGTGGAAAAAGTTCTAATATGATTTATTTTTGTCTCATTTTTTTACATCACAGAAACCTGACATTTTAACAGGGGTGTGTAGACTTTTTATACCCACTGTATATATATATACTGCTCAAAAAAATGAAAGGAACACTTTGTAATCAGAGTCTAGCATAAAGTCAATGAAACTCCCGGGATATTGATCTGGTCAGTTAAGTAGCAGAGGGGGTTGGTAATCAGTTTCAGCTGCTTTGGTGTAATGAAATTAACAAGCGCACTAGATGGTCAACAAGGAGACGACCCCCAAAACAGGAATGGTTATACAGCTGGAGGTCACTGACATTTTTTTCCCTATTCATGTTTTCTGACTGTTTTTCACTAGTTTTGCATTTGGCTAGGGTCAGTGTCACTACTGGTAGCATGAGGCGATACCTGGACCCTACAGTGGTTGCACAGGAAGGCCAACTCCTCCAGGATGACACCTCAATACGTACCATTGCCAGAAGGTTTGCTGTATCTTCCAGCACAGTCTCAAGAGTATGGAGGAGATTCCTGGAGACAGGCAGTTACTCTAGGAGAGATGGACAGGACCGTAGAAGGTCCTTAACCCATCAGCAGGACCGGTATCTGCTCCTTTGTGCAAGGAGAAACAGGGTGAGCACTGCCAGAGCCCTACAAAATGACCTCCAGCAGGCCACTGGTGTGAATGTCTCTGACCAAACAATCAGAAACAGATTTTATGAGGCTGGCCTCAGGGTCTGACGTCATCCAGTGGGCCCTGTGCTCACTGCCCGGCACCATAGAGCTCGACTGGCATTTGCCACTGAACACCAGAATTGGCAGGTTCACCACTGGTGCCCTGTGCTTTTCACATATTGTGATGAAATCCTTGGACCCATTGTCAGACCCTACACTGGTGCAGTGGGTCCTGGGTTCCTCCTGGTGCACGACATTGCCCAGCCTTATGTGATGAGAGCATGCAGTCAGTTCCTGAAGGCTGAAGAAATTGATACCATTGAATGGCCCCCACACTCGCCTGACCTAAATCCAATAGAACGCCTCTGGGATATCATGTTTTGGTCAATCTGACGCTGCCAGGTTGCACCTCAGACTGTCTAGGAGCTCAGTGATGCCCTGGTCCAGATCTGGGAGGAAATACCCCAGGACCAGGGGCGGACTGACCATTTGGAAACTCGGGCACTGCCCGAGGGCCCGGGGTCAGTATGGGGCCCCATGAGATGCCCCTGGTACCTTTTTCATAGGCTTTTTTGAGTTTGGGCAAGGACACAGGGGCCCCATGATCCCCTATTGCCCGGGAGCCCCATGAGTTGTCAGTCCGCCCCTGCCCAGGACACCATCCGTCCTCTCATTAGGAGCATGCCCCGACATTGTCAGGCATGCATATAAGCACGTGGGGACCATACAGACTACTGAGGACCATTCTGAGTTGCTGCAATGAAATTTCAGCAAAATGGACTAGCCTGCTGCATCATTTTTTCACTTTGATTTTCGTGGTGTCTTTGAACCCAGTGCATATCAGTATAGATATCCAGCAGGAGATTTTTCCCCATTGAGATCCGATGTATTTTCAAAGTGTTCCTTTAATTTTTGTGAGCAGTGTGTATATATATATATATATTTGATCAGGGTTCAACTTTAGAAAAAATCTTTTCATAGTAATTGCAATAAATGGCACCTTGATGGAAGCTTCCTCCACAAGCCTCCATCTAGCTAACAAGCTGTTCTGGCACGTTTGGTATAATGGGCATCGAGGAAGATTTTCCTCCCTCGCCTGGAAGAGCCCGAAGAGCGCCATCATTAGAATTGCAGGGATAACCTGTGGGAGCCGGTGATTTGGGCATATTTTATTTAACCAGTTTAGTGACGACTAATATTCAGGAATGGTGATCTGGAGCAGAATTACAATTTTCAGGGTCAAACAGGGATTTTGATTTTTCAGAGCGCTGTAAAGTCTCATGAGCGGTCGTTAAAAATAAATGAGAAAATAGGTTATCCCGGAGTCATTGTACAAGAAAATCAATAAGCTGCGTCTATTCACTTGGGCTATCAAAATCCTTGAAATTTGAACAAAAGTTTCACGTTCGGTGTGCTGACGGTTTTTTGAAATGTAAGTGGTATGGGCTCGGCGGAGAGAAATTCATTGTTCTATGTCTTTCCGACAGGAGGTACAACCTTGTCGAGCTTTGATGTGAAGCGTTAGGAGCCCCACATGTGAGACGGCAACGTCGATCTTTAAATAGCTCCTTGAAAGTCAATACAAATTGTGAAATTATGTGCCAGATCAGCAGGCTTTGAGAGTGAGGAGAGTCCGGCCCTACAGACAACTTGATTAGCGCCTCTTGGATGCTCCATAAATAACTACTAAGCTAGACTTTCCTATATAGGTTCCTCCCACATCAGGACATTTGCTCCATAGTCATCCAGTTGTGACCACCCATGATCCTAAAATAGGACAAGAAGCATCTTTTTTTTTTATTTTATGATGAAATTGAATTATGTATTTTAGGTTTGGATGTCTGCCTGAATGGTTTTCTTGTGTTGTTGCTTCCAAAACCTAACTTTTTTGAAGCTGTAGTTTTAAGTTGACTGATGTAGCTATCAAGCTGAAACAGTTCAGTGTAAATTGAATAGCTGTATATTTAGGCTATATCTGGGCTATAAGCCAGAGGTTCTGGATGGACAGTTGAGTAAATGGCTCCATTTGCAGGCAGTATGCAGCTTATACACCATAGGTTCTGAATGTACAACTGGATAAATGGTTCTTTATGTAGACAGTATCTAGGCTATAAATCAACAGTTCTGGATGGACAGTTGGGTAAATGGCTCCATGTGTAGGCTTTATCCAAGGTATAAACCAGTGGCTCTTGAGGTACAACTGGATAAATTATAGTTTTATATGTAGGCTACAACAATGCTATAAACCAGCAATTCTGGATGGAAAGTTGGGTAAATTACTTTATATTTAGGCTTATCTGGGCTATAAACCAGCACCTCTAGATGGACATTTGGTATATGGCTCTATATTTAGAATGTATCTATGCTACAGACCAGAGATTCTGGATGTACAGCTAGATAAATGTTCTATATATTTGCACCCTGAAAATCCATCTCTTCAGGGAAGCCTACCCCACCCCCTGCAAACTTGCCGACCTCCTCCACTCTTCCTACCACTCCATCCCCCACAGCTATCTCCTCCTGTGCCACCATCTCCTCCCTTCTAGATTGTAAGCTCCAAGGAGCAGGGCCCTCAATCCCCTCATGTTTTGCATTGTATTGGTATTGTTCTGTCACATGTTCTGTCCCCCTTTGTAATGTACAGCGCTGAGCGAACTATTGGCGCTTTATAAATACTGTATAATAATAATAATATATGTAGGCTGTGTCTATGCTATAAACCAGTGGTTCTAGATAGGCAGTTTGCTAAATGATGTTATATGTAGGCTTTTCTGAGGTATAAACCAGCATCTCCAGGTGGACAGCTGGGTACATGGCTCCATATGTAGACTGTGCCTATGCTATAAACCAATGGCTCTGGATGTACAATTGGACAAAAAGCCCTGTCATAGATAAAAGGATATGTTATGGGGGGAGTCCCTTCCTACTAGGGGCAGACGAGTTAACCAGGATTTGACAATAGCAGTTGAGATTAGGCAATGGCATTGAGAGGAGTATTTTGTGGGTTCCAGAGGGACAGTAGTTTAAGAGAGGCAAGATATCCAGTCCTACTGAAGGATGAGAACTCATTGTGCCCACATTTTCTGAGTCCTTAAGTTGAGAGCAGTTAAAAGAACTGAGGCGTGGGTCTCAGAAGTCACCTGGTTTTCATCATACCAACCTGCAAGGAATGAGGAGTTTTGCTACTCAGAGGTCAACTGTTGCAGCCCCCTGACTCAGTCGAGCAAACAACTACCTCAGACTAAGTGCTGATATACTGTAATAGTCTCTTGCAGCTGGTGAAGTCACACAGGGACACTGGGCTTGGATATAGGTCAGACTGCATGGGTCCAGGCTAAGATACAGGCTGGTGTGGAAATGAAAAAACAAAAAGAGGGCGCAGCGGCCTAGTGCAGAAGCGGGACTATGTGCACTAGCCTGGAGGGGGCGTAAGTCCCTGCGCTCCACCTAAAGCCAATGGGAGCTCACTGGGTTACTTAGCATATATAAGAGAAGTGCAGACTCTTAGAGTGTTGGCTCTGAGGAAGAGGCTGAGTCCTCAAAACGCGTCAGCGAGTTGGTCATCCAGGGTTCCATCGTTGTGGACTCAGATGCTATATGGATTGAATGCCTATGTTTTATATGTCCACTATGAGTATGATACCTACTTTTTTATTCTTTCAATAAATATTTTTAAACGATAATGCAGTAGGTCGGTGCACCCTCTTTTTGTTTTTTCATTTGCATTTAGTGACTACCAAGGTCCGTTAAGGGCAGCAAGCAGTGCATATTCCAGAACATTCACATTGTCATTCTAGCCTCTGCTGAGTCCATCCCCAGCGCAGGAGTAAAGTATTCGCTGTGTTTGACAGGCTGGTGTGGGCAGGGTCACTGAAGCATGACACAGGCTGGAGTATTCAGAGTCAATGGAGCAGGATACAGCCTGGAATGTTCAGAGCCACTGGAGCAGGATACAGGCTAGAGTGTTTGGGACCACTTGAGCAGGGTACAGGTTGGAGATTACTGGAGGCTAAAGAGGCACTGTAGGCTCCAGCTACTAGCATGTGTGGACACACTGCTTGGATGTCAAGCCGCACTTCAGCTTGCCCTTTAAGACAGCGTTCCTTCCATAATTGGCTGTCATGGATGCAGAACCTTGAAGTCAATGGCTGCCCACAGAAGAGATCTGGCACTGGAGAATGGAACTTGTGAGTGTGCCAGGCTTTATATTGAGGCTGTATTCAGGATATAGACCAGCGGTTCTGGTTGGGTAGTCGGATAAATGGCTGCATATGTAGGCTGTATCTGGACTAAAGACTGGAGCTCTGAATAACCTTATGACTATTGTCACCAGGTGAAAAAGTGAGGTTCCAATGATACCTGTCTAATAGGTGATTTCCTCCTACATGCTGTTGTATCTCCAAGACAGGAACTTAAAAGAAATCTTCTTGGTGGTGCACAGACAGAAGAAAAAAAACCTGCTAGGGATTTTAACCTTTTCCTATCCAAAGCTAAATCTCAGACATGCTTTAATTATTTAGCTGTCAGATAAACTACTAGCATCAGCAGTTTCCCATTCACTAACATGGTACAAGTGTACAGATTAGGGGCCTTGACCGCCTCCTGACTTTACCTATCTTCATGCTTGTTCCTGGCTTGTGACTGAAAGTATTGAGATTGAGAACAACCAGAAAACTAGTGTTCATCTAGCCATTAGTAGAAGATCCTTTAAGTCCTGTAAGTTTCAAGATGGGGCCTTCATGGATTGGACTTGTTTTTCCAGCACAGACCACAGATGCTTGATTAGATTGAGATCTGGAGAATTTGGAGGCCAACTCATTGTTGTGTTCTTCAAACCATTCTTGAGCCATTTTTGCAGGGTGCATTATCTTACTGAATGAAGTCGCTGCCATCAGAGAATACCGTTTCCATGAAGGGGTGTACGTGGTCAGCAACAATGTTTAGGTAGGTGTCAAAGTAAATCCACATGAATGGCAGGACCCAAGGTTTCCCTTTGCTGGGTTGTCTTCTAAATATAGTGCATCTTTGTGCCATCTCTTCACCAGGTAAGCAATACACACAAACCCAGCCATGATGTAAAAGAAAACGTGATTCATCAGACCAGCCCATCTTCTTCCATTGCTCCGTGGTCCAGTTCTGATGCTCAGCGGCCATTTGTAGGCAGTAGTGTATTTAGGTTTTGTGCTGCCCTAGGCAACACTAAAATTGGATGCCCCCCTCCGGGAGAGAGCCTGACATTGACCTACAATGCCCCTGCCCCCTCACCTGAGGGAACCATCGACTAACATACATTTCCCCCCACCCCCGCGAGCGAGAGAGAGAGACACTCAACTTCACAGCTCTGGACATCCTTGGGAACCAGAGTCGGGCTCTGTATACACCATCAAGCAGCCCACAGCCTCTCTCGGATCCCACCTGGTCCCCATACTGCATGTGTCCCTTATTCTGTCCTTTGTTCTGGGGGGCAATGCTGCCCCCCTGAAAAGTGCCACCCTAGGCAAATGCCTTGTTTACCTTGTGGTAAATATGCCCTTGATTGTAGGCACTTTTGACTGTGGACACGGGTCAGCATGGACACCCTGACTGATCTGTGGCTACAGAGCCCCATTCACAACAAACTGTGATGTCCATTTTTTCTGCTTTCAACACATCAACTTCAGGAACAACATGTTTACATGCTGCTTAATATTTCCCACCAACTTTCAGATGCCATTGTAACAAGATAATCAATGTTACGAACTTAACCTGCCAGTGGTCATGAAGTTATGGCTGATTGGTGTATTTCATCCATTTAATTCCTAGAATGCACAGATAAATGTAGTAGACCGTTTAATTCCTGATAAATCCCTTATATATTTCATTACATTCACTATTTTTGTACTTCTCAGGATAAGTCTATAGTTTAGCGGTTGTGATTTGACTAGCAGATTAAAAAGATTTTCCACTTTCAGAGAGAAAGTGGGACACCTCTGTACTTACCCCCTGCTGATATTCAGTATGATGTCCCGCTTAGAACCCCCCACTGATCGGAATTTTTGCCGAAGCTGATGAGACACTCTGAGGCTACCACAGCTTGGAGTTGCACAGTTTTCCTTCAGCCGCTCCTTGGAAACCTGCCGCTTTTTCAATGGGATTCCGAGGCTGGACAGCACTTGAGGAACAAATCCCACCTTGGAAACCATTTGGGTTCTGTAGGTGGGCTGTGTGATGCCTGATGCAATGCTTAGCGGTAGTGATGAACACATTTTTATTTGCCCAAATATTTCCATGTTAAGCTTTCGGATGTGGGCAAATTTTTCAATATACTTTAGAGAATCAAGACTTTTGTCAATTTCCCTTGTTACAAAACTGGTTATAACTCCTGAGCAGTGGTGGATCTCACTGGGAGAATTCAGGAGGCTCTCCAGGTCCAACACTCCCACACATGCTCATGGATTTTGGGCATACATAGTACGTTCAACAAAAGGTATTCAAGTACCTTGGGCGTACTTTGTACACTCTAGTCTTTCCCCTACCTGTGGTTACTGGCAATATATATATATATATATATATATATATATATATATATATATATATATATATATATATATGCTTTTTGCAAGATAACAAAGCAAAATAGGACAGTAGTAAAATATGTCAATATACAACAGGAATTAGAGGAGACAACCTGATTATCATCACAACAGGTCCTAATAAAAATGTTGGCAAAATCATATTAACAGTCAGGTTCTGTTTTGTAATGCAGAAGCTCAGACGGAGGTTCCTCTTTGAATGCAGCCCACATACATCTTTTATTAGTTATTTTGATAAATACATTGTAAAATTATTATTGTCACAATCTCTTTATCTCACAAAGAGTTTATTAAGTTTCAAGGTAAGATACAGCGAACTTGAAAATAGAACATCAGTGTACAATTATCATTGATAATGTAAGGAAACCCAGAGGAGGAGTCCCTCCCTTCCAAATAGGATACAGGTGGAACTACAATTCCAAAGTTCTGAGAAGGCTTGGATAATGAGTAGGAGGTCCCATGTGAGTTTCTCAGCTATGAGGCCAATCAGTTTCGAATTGTAAAGCCTAAACGGGATTTCGTGCGCTGGTGCAGCGATTGGACCAGACATTTTAAATCTCTTTAGCTATATAGATTGGGACAATGTAAGTATAGAAAAAATGCACACAGGATTGGCATCAGGGCAGAGTGTTCTCCAGGTTTTGTTATTCTGGATCAGGGCCTGGAGCTTGAAGGCTTCAACGTGTCTTGGGTGGGATGAAGTCTTCAATGTTGTGTTTGGGTCTTGCTGGTGACCTGTAGGCCATGAGAGTGTGTCAGGAGAGAGCTGTGTGTTCCTGCCAAGAGACTGCACCGCATATTGGGAGGATTCCATGCCCACAGGACTTGGACAGCTGCAAGAGTCTAAGGAGACTGAGAAAGCTGGGGCGATTAACAAGCAAGAAATTTTAGGAATAATGAGAGAGCCCAAGTTGCTGGGAGAAACGTATCTAGAGGACAAGAGTGGGCCCATTCATTGAGGTGCTGCAGCAAGAGGCTGAGTGAGCCAAGATAGCCAGGGACCTGGGGCAGAGGTTATTTAAGTCCCTACCCCCCTGAATTGATGCACATTTTATGCAAGTGGCTAGAATAGGGACAGGTTCCTTGCCTGTTAGGGACAGCACTTAGCAGTAGGGAAAGATTCTGGGGAGTAGGGAAAGTCCAAGGACTTTTCTTGTTGGGGTTAGACTGGGCAGGCCGCTCTTTCATTCCTCATTGCAGTTGCTGTCAGCACCTCTATGAAGGCATGCCCGGTAAAGTGGGTGCAGGAACAGTGGGACCAATTGAAGAAAGCTTGGACAGTAATAAAGACTTGGCAGAGGAAGGTGTCCTAGACCAGCTGCCGTTGCATCTAGGAGACCGGGTGTTGTTAAGAATCCAAAATGTGAAAGAGACAGTAAGCTGGAGCCCAAGTGGGAGCACACCCCCTATCAGGTGGAGAAACAACCATTCCCACCGACTCCTGTATATGATGTGGTCTCAGATAGACATGTGCAGTTCATTTCGTTCCAAATTGAAATTCAGACTAATTTTCCCTTATTCGGAGATTTGGATGTATCCGAATTCTGAATTACAATAGTAACAATTTTAAACGAATCTGAAATAACAAAATGAAATTAGGCTGAAATTCGAATCGATTCAAATTTGAAAGCACCTTTGAAAACAAATTCAAATTTAAAAACAATATCGAAACCCAATTCGAATTTGAAAACAAGAATAGAATAAAATAGAACAGAAAATAAACAGAAATTCATAAAATAAAATAGAAAATAAAAGAATATAGTAGAACAGAAAAGAAGAGAGGAAAAAAAAACAGAATGGAAAATAAAAGAATAGAACAGAATACAGTAGAAAATATTACAGTAAAACAGGACAAAATAGAAAGGAAAATAAAGGCATAGAAGAGAATAGAATCCATTAGAATAGAATAGAAAAGATTAGAATAGAAAATCAAAGGTCCTCGCTTCGGCAGGACATATACTAAAATCGGGACGATACAGAGAAGATTAGCATGGCCCCTGCGCAAGAATAGAAAATCAAAGACTAGAATAGAAAAGAATAGAATCAATTAGAATAGAATAGAAAAGATTAGAATAGAAATCAACGAATAGAATAGAAAATAATAGTGTAAAAAAGAGCAAAATAGAAAAGAAAATAAAGGAATAGTATAGAATAGATTAGAATAGAAAATCAAAGAAAAGAATAGAAAAGATTAGAGAAGAGAATCAAAGAATAAAATAGTATAGAAAAAACAATAGAATAGAATAAAATAGAATACAACTGCCTTCCGAAATTGAATTTTGAATAGAATGAATTTGAACAGAATATATTAGAATAGAATAGAAAATAATAGAAAAAATTAGAGCAGACTGAAAGACTTTGCAAAAAATTGTGAGCTGCACTATGGTGACGTGAGCAGTGATCAACAAAGGCATTGTGAAAATTTTGCTGAAATAGAATATGGTCACACGACTCTTCATATAGCCCATATACCATCAAAAACACATGAATTGTGGATTGTAATGTCAGAATTATTATTGAATTCATTAGAATTGTTTTAGAATCCGTTGGGACTATTTTCAAATCTGTTACTGTTGTTTTTCAATCCGTTAAAATTATGTTTGAATCTGTTCGAAAATTTCTAATTCGGTCGAATTTGAATAAATGAAAGGAATTCTGAAAAGCGAATTAAACGATTTTAACTAATCGAATGAAGCTAAATTAGTCAATTAATTAATTGAAACAACACAACACAATTGTTTTCATTTTGCACGTCTAGTCTCAGAAGGACCTGAAGCAATCAAGAAGCAGCTCCACCACAATCTGCTGAGGTCCTGTGTGCTGGGTGGGGACTGTTCCACCAGACCTGCCACTGAAAGCCAGAATTCCGACCCCATGGATGCTCCACCAGTCCAGGAAGTCCCATTTGGTACTTGCCTCCCATTGCACCCTGGTCCCCTGATCCAAAGGAGGAGAGCTCTACTGAATCATCTTCAGACAGTGTGTAGGCTCCATCCCTGGAGGCCGCAAGCCCTGCTGACTCCCCGCACTCCTCCATGAACATCGCATCCAGCTCAGGTGATAGGCCTTTGGCTGGCCCTGTTGACCCTCAACCACCTGAGGTCTTAGAGACTTGTGAAGAAGACAACAATTCTGAGGATGACCCCACAGAGGACAGTGTGGTTTGCTGACCAAAACGATCTGACCATGGTCAGCTCCCTGCACAGTACTCTGATTATGTTGTTTGAAGTTTTCATGCTTTAATCTTAACCCCTTCACGCCTAAGGGGAAAACAAATGTTAATGCCTAAGTACAATTTTACAACTTTGACATGTGATAGTAAAACCGTACATATCATCACAACTACTTTCTACATCCAACTGAATTATACCGCATTTTTTTCAGGACAAATTGGGCTTTCATTTGGTGGTAAACGGTAATGGATAACTCCTGATTTTTTTTTTATTATCAAAGGAAAACTGGCCCAAAATAGTAAAAAAAAAATATTTTTTTTTTAATTTAGCTGTGTGTTTCTTGTTACTACCATAACCTACCACCAAAGAACAACCCAAAATACATTTTCCAGCTCTTGACGATCGCAGCGATACCATATATGTATGTTATTTGTTGTTTGTACCCGTAGTACAGCCCAGAAACAATAGTGCACATTTTGTTTTTTGTTTTTCTTTACCTAAAACAGACTGACACCAATTAAAAAAAAAAATATTATCCTGACCCTTGACCCTGACCTTAACCCAAACACTAACCCTGTCACTGAACTAGATCAAACCTTGATGTAGGTATTTTTTATTTTATTTTTTAATATTTATTTATGTATTTATTTTAATTTTTTTTTCTCTCTGCAAGGAGAGAACGTATCTCTCTCTCCTCCATTCAGAGAGAAAAAAAAACCAAGGGGGCGGGCTTCACAGTGACTGATCACTGTGATAGTCAATCAGAGTGACAGCGATCATGTGACCCGGAATCAGGAGTCCCGGGTCCAGATTATTTGAACGGGATCCGGGGCTCTCAGTCACACTGCGGTCTTTGTGCTGGGAGCGCGCTGTGCGGTACGCTCCCAGCACAAAGGTAGGTACGCAAATATGCAGCCCCACGGAAAAAGCCCAGTTCTGTGAGGCCACATATTTGTGTGACATCAGTGTCAAGGAGTTACATATGTTTATTGTCATTTTGCACAATGTTTTGTTCTGTTTTGATGCCAAGGACAGCATCTGTCAAAGAGGGGGGGAGTGTAGGCAGGCGCAGTTTGTACCAGGGGCGGACTGACAACTCATGGGGCCCCCGGGCAATAGGGGATCATGGGGCCCCTGTGTCCTTGCCCACACTCAAAGCACACCCAAAAAAGCCTGTAAAAGGTACCAGGGACACTTCATGGGGCCCCCTACTGACCCATGGCCATCGGGCAGTGGCCGAGAGCTCGACTGATCAGTCCGCCCCTGGTTTGTACTCCCTACTGCAGGTGGCCCTTGACCCAGAGCTGCAGTGGAGTATGGGAAGGAAGTCCTGGGGAACTTATGCAGGCCAAACATGGGTCGAATTCCGAACAAATTTTCTTTAGAAAATCTGAAATTTTGTGCATTTCTTAATCCAATGGGGCCACCATTGATTTCGAAATTCGACCAACCAAGCCTTCAATTCCCCCTCATGTTGCTACAGAAAAGAATTTTCGTGGCCAAGAGTTTTCTGTTCTTTGCAGGTCACAGCTCATTTCTTTTTGATTTATATTTCCTGCCTGATTCTCCCATCATCAAAATTCATTAGTTTTTCAAAAAATTTCCAACATGCCAGATCACTCAAATTCGATGGTCGTACGAAAATCGGCCGTTTCTGTGACCCACTAATGGTGTGAAATTCGAACGAAAATTCTTAGAAAAGATTTTTGAAAGAAACTTCTTTCAGAATTTGACCCGCGTATGAGCCAGCTTTAGTTCCTCTATGATTCCCTGTGGGTACCTGGGAGCAGCTGTCTGATTGGACGCTGGTCCCTTTGTGATTGGGTGACGGAAGAGCTTATTGAAGACTTTAGATTGTACGCCCCTTGAGGGTTAGGGACCAGGGACGGACTGACCATTTGGGAACTCGGGCACTGCCCGAGGGCCCGGGGTCAGTAGGGGGCCCCATGAGATGCTCCTGGTACCTTTCTTAGGCTTTTTTGGGTGTGGTTTGAGTGTGGGTGAGGACACAGGGGCCCCATGATCCCCTATTGCCCAGTGGCCCCATGAGTTGTCAGTCCACCCCTGTTAGGGACTGATGTGAGTGTACAATATATATGTAAAGTGCTGCGTAAATTGACAATGTTATAGAAGTACCTGTAATAAATAAATAAATAAACTGAAGTCCCTGCCTCCCTGAACGGGTGCGCATTCTACGAGTGGCTAGAGTAGAAACCGATTCCCCCGTCTGTTAGGGACAGCACTTAGCAGTAGGGAAAGGTTCTGGAGGAGTAGGGATTAAAGAGTTGGGATTAAAGAGAACCTGTTGCTTGCTTTGCACTGCCATTATGCTTGTAACCCATTGGGATGGTTTCAACCATGGATGCCACCATGACTTTTGTTGAATTTTGCAACACACTGAAAGTGCATGACAGTTCCAGCCTCCATAGTTTTCAATAGGCCTTGTTTCCACCAATGTGCTGTGTTGCCATGTCTTGAGAAAATGTCCTGCTAAGTGCATTTCAATGTGTTTTGGATCAATGGAACCCCATTGCCTTTTCAGATTGAGGTAATAGCTGGCCATGTGATTTCCTTACAATGTATGCTGCAATGTGTAGCATCTGCCGAAACACACATCCATGCATGGCAATCCTTTTTGCGTATTTCTACTAGAAACAAGCCCTTAGATCTATTGAGCCGGTCATACTCATCCTTGAAAGAATTTCAGCCACTAGACATGTGCAGAACAAAAACTATTTGTTTTGTTTCAAATTCTAACACATGTTGTGTAGTTGGATTTGGTAAATTCCTCAATTCGTTTTCGGGATTTGTTTCGGCAATTCGTATTCAAAATTCAATTCGAAAACATTTTGACCAAATTCAAAAAGTCATTCGAATTCGAAAAGATTTCAACAGAATTTGAAAAATTACGGGGAGCGGGGGACCAGTCCGTAAAGCGGAACTTCCCCATATTTGGCACCTTTTGGGGGGGAGGGAAGAGCGGGTACTTGGTTTTGACAGGTACCCGCTCCCACGTCCAGCTCAGTTCGCCGCGGCAAAGTGACCCAGAAGTTCAGCCCCCTCCTCCCGCCCGCAGTCTCCTGGGAACTTTCACAGGTCCCAGGAGACTGCCGGACCAATCAGGAGGCGCGGCACGACTCAAGCATGCGCAGTGGGCACCAGGCTGTGAGTATACATTTAATTCTTTAACCTGTCCCAAAATTATGAGTTTAATAAGAAATTTAGTGAAAACATGAATGGTTAGAAAAGTAGGAATAAACAAAAATCATCAGGAAAAAAATAGTTAAGGGGAGAAGGGGAAGAAGGAATTAATTAGGACTGACCAAAGGTTAATAAGAGGTTAAATAGAAACACATAGCAGAAATAGCAGAAATACTGCTACAGGGCGGCAGGGGTGCGCAAAATCACATATATAAATACGTGATTTTGTATCTGCGGGTAGGGGGCGTGTGTGAGCCCTATCCGCACCGCCATTCGTAGCCTCTGCTGTCAATCACCAGGTGATTACTCGCCAGCACCCGGTGATCGTTGAGTAATACCGACGGGGGAGAGAACTGTAAGTAAACAACACAGATCTCTCCCCTGTCAGCTCTAGCACACAGCTTTGTATGGCTTTGCATAGCACAGCCATACAAAGCAGTGTGCTTACAGTGGAAACACACACAGCCCCCATAGTAAAACAGCACACAGTTAACCCTTTGATCGCCCCACATGTTAACCCCTTCCAGCCCAGTACCCTTAGTACAGTGTCAGTGCTTTTTATTAGCACTGATCACTGTATTGGTGTCACTGGGGATGTCAGTGACACCAAGTCAGTTCCCCTCAGCATCAGAATGCCCTCTGCAGTCTCGCTATAAGTCGCTGAGCATCGCCAATACTAGTAAAAACAAATACAAAATCCCAGTATCTATACCGCCATTTGTAAACGCTATAACTTTCACATAAACCAATTAATTTACACGTATTGGGATTTTTTTTTAGCAAAGACATGGAGCAGAATACATTTTGGCCTAAATTTATGAAGAAATTTGATTTTTAAATTTTTTCTTACTGGACAAAAGTTGAAAATACAGTTTTTTTCTCAAAATTGTCACTTTTTTCTGCTTATAGCGCAAAGAATAAAAAGCGCACAAGAGATCAAATACCACCAAAAGAAAGCTCTATTTGTGGGAAAAAAGGACGTACATTTCATTTGGGTGTAGCGTTGCATAACCGCGCAATTGTCAGTTAAAGTAACGCAGTGCTGTATCGCAAAAAATGGTCTGGTCAGGAAGGTCAGGGTAAAGGTTCTAGAGGGCAAGTCGTTAAATAAAAATGTTTTACTTGTCAGGTTGTTGTACCTGATATAATATGTAGACGGAAGCTCATCCCTTTGATCTGCAGATATATAATACATAGTAGATACAAATGAAATCATGGTAATTTGTATCTCTATCTCTCCTCTGAACAATGTTTATAAACATGGTGTCAGAAGGTCTGTTTTTTCATATCTAGACCTTGTTCTCAGAGGGCCTATGAATCCAGGCAGGCAGACCCACTGCTGTCAATTCGGAGGCAGCGACTGCGCGGACACAGTGCGACATCAGTGCTGGTGCAGGTACATGGCCCAGAAAACACCTTGGGACACAGTTTAATGACTTCATTAACCTCCCTAGTGGTCTGATTATGTCAGTATTTCTGTGCTCAAAGAGGTACATTTTTTTGCATGGAAATATGTCTTTTTTTTATTGTAGGCCTGTAATTTTTAAGAATAACTCACTGAAATCTGTCCGAACAAGAGTCTAGTAAACATCCCGGGTATGATAAAATTTGAAATACGAAATCATAAATTATAATTGAATAAATAATCATAAAAAATCATATATTAGTTTCACCTTTTAAGTTGCAAATTAACTTTTGCTCAATATTCTAATTTTCCGAGTTTCACCTGTATAATATAATAAATAATCGTAAAAAATAATAATAATAATACATTTAATTCAATAATATAATCAAACCAAAAACACTGAAATTTGAAATAGAGCGCCAAGTTCGCACATCGCTGAGCAAAGTCGCAAAATCGTTTTCAGTGTCTGATGATGAATTTCCCCCACGAATCATTATCACTCAATTCTGCAAGTGGTTCTGATTTACTATCGCTGTTCTCTAGCTGATCTAAACCCGCTTTTGACCTAAAGGGACGCTTTTTGGACACCATGGACGTTTCTCAGTTTCCAGGGAGAAAGAACAGTAAAAATGCAGGCAGGGCACAGGACAAAGCACTCGGGACAAAATGTATGTGAAATGGTTTGATACAGGAATGTTATACTATGTGATTTTAGTGTATTTAGTGAATGTCACTTTTTCACATTTTTTCACATTTCCCGCCGGTTTCGTCCCCGTACGTCCCGACGTCGCAGGGAATGGAACCCAGAAGACAGATGCTGGCATCGGCCGGAGGACATTACAGGGGACACTGCAGGAGGGACATCGCGGGAGCGCAGGACAAGGTAAGTGAAGAAGAGATCCCGGAGACACGCTGCAGTGTATTCCAGAGTGTAGCTCGGGGGTTACCACTTGTGGTGCTAAAACTTTACCCCGAGCTACACTCGGGAATACCGCCAAGGAGGTTAAAGTGCAACTCCGGAAAGAAAAAAAAAAAAAAAAGCAAAGGTGCTGCCCCGGTACTTATCTCAAGAGTCCTCAGTCCTGATGCAAGCAAGGGGCTGAATTTTGGGAGGAGCTATGCAAATATCAAAATGCATTGATGGGTTGATGTCAGTCTGGAGAAGCGTGTGTTTCTAGCCAGGCTGTATTTGCATGCAGATTGGCTGAGTTGCAAGAACTGAAATCCAATGAATTGTATTTATTTATTTCAGGTATTTATATAGCGCCGTCAATTTACGCAGCACTTTACATATATATATTGTACAATCACATCAGTCCCTAACCCTCAAGGGGTGTACAATCTAAGTCCCTAACTCACATATTCATACATAGTATCATAGTTAGTCAGTCCCCCCTGGGTGAAAAAAAGACATAAGTCCATCCAG